CGATGATGATCGATGCTATTCTTATTTTTTGCACAGGTATTAGAGACAGAACAGTAACTTAGGAAAGGGACAGATCAGTAACTTAGGAAAGAAAGATGTAAGGATAAAAGTAATAGCTGTCAAGGTATGTATTTTTTAAAATTTTTAACATTTTTGATTATCAATAATCAGTATGTATGTTGGATTGCCTATGTTGGATTGCCTGTGTTGTTTGTGTGAACTTTGTGATTTGAATTGATTTATATGCTCTATATGGGCCCTTTAATTAGGAATACTAGTAAAGACATTTGATTTGATTTGATTTTATTTGGATTAATATTTATTTTAATGCATATCAAATTTAAAACATAACCTCTGCAATCAATAAGACAGGTGGTACAATAGATTCTGGTGTTCGAGATGGGTGGCATTATTACAATAGATCTTGGTATTCAAGATGGGTGGCATTTTTACAATAGATCCTGGTGCTCGAAATAGGTGGCATTTTAACAGTAGATCCTGGTGCTCGAGATGGGTGGCATTGTTACACTAGATCCTGGTGCTCGATATGGGTGGCATTGTTACAATAGATCCTGGTGCTCGAGATGGGTGGCATTGTTACAATAGATCCTGGTGCTTGAGATGGGTGGCATTTTAACAATAGATCCTGGTGCTCGAGATGGGTGGCATTGTTACAATAGATCCTGGTGCTCGAGATGGGTGGCATTGTTACAATAGATCCTGGTGCTCGAGATGGGTGGCATTTGTACAATAGATCCTGGTGCTCGAGATAGGTGGCATTTTAACAATAGATCCTGGTGCTTGAGATGGGTGACCTTGTTACAATAGATCCTGGTGCTCGAGATGGGTGGCATTGTCACAATAGATCCTGGTGCTTGAGATGGGTGGCATTGTTACAATAGATCGTGGTGGCCGAAATAGGTGGCATTTGAACATAGATCGTTGTGCTCGAGATAGGCGGCATTGCTACATTGTACATGTACAGGAGCGAAAAAAATGGTAAAAACGGATCCGCTATTATATAGACCAGTAAATTATTTAAAAAAAACCTGGCCTATATAACATTTTATTCCCTGCCTTTGACGTTCTACGTGATTGCTAAGTCATGTTTACAAAATATTATTTGTGTTTGTTTTTTTAGGAAGAGTAATGGAGGCCTACACAAAGATAACAGAAGCTGAATTAAAGAAGGATTGTGCACCAGAAATGGTTGTAGGAGTTTAGAGACTACATTTCATTTTCACGAAAATAATAAAAAATGATTAAGAGATTATTTGTATTCATTTACCAGATCACCTTTTGGCTATATTTAATTTAGCTTTTGTCATAACTTGACATCTGTTGTACTGTTTTTTTTTTTCAAATCTTGCTGATGTCCTCTGTAGAGTCATGTGGCTTCAATATCTTGTGTGGTTACTAACTATTATAGATATAAGAAGATGTGGTATGATTTCCAATGACACAAATATCCACCAGAGTCCAATTGACGTGGAGGTCACTAAACGGACTTCAACAATAAGCACACACCACACCGTATAGACCGCAATAGAAGACCCGGACACAATACACCCTTCAATAATCAATTCAAACGAGAAAACCAACCGCCTAAATTTGTAACGACAAACACATGTGACAGATGAACCAACAACAAGCAACGCATTGCTTATTTCAACATGAAAAAATGTTGTTGCAATATTAGGGTGACGTTGTTTCAATGTTAAGTTTAAACCTATATTCAATCAAAAATCAACGTTGATACAATGTTGAAAATATAACGTTGTTTCAACGTCAGATATTCAACGTTGTGTCAACTTTCAAAACCAACCGTTATTTCAACGTCTTTTCAACGTTACAGATCAACGTTGATTCAACGTTGTTTCAACGTTGAAATGCCTGCTGGGAAGCTATCCGGAGACTCCATATGAGAGTTTTTTCTCCTTATGCATTTAATATAAGTGATGTGCTTTTGTAACTGAAAAACCATAGCTTATAGAGACCTGAGGTCTTTCGATTTGAGGTCCTCCGTCCAAAAAAAAAAAAGAAATGAAGGTCAAGGTCAAAGGTCAAGGTCATATTTTAAATTTTGATTTTGGCTTGTTATCACTTATTTTCAGAGATTGTATAAGATATCGACAAAATATTTTTACAGAATTGTTAGTTGCGACATGTCGTAACACGTACATTTTAGTTGAAAGGGTACGTAGACATTTAATGGGAGTTTTCGCCCCTTTTATATTTAATATAAGCTGTATGGTAATATAAATCATTAACAATATATAGTAGAGACCTATAGTGTTTTGATTTGAGGCCATTGTTTCATGACCTTGAAATTGGGGTCAAGGTCAAAGTTTGATTTGACGTTCTAGATTTTGACCCTTGCTTTAACTTTTAATGAATGCCTGATAAAACTATGGTACTTTGTGCATTAAGTTGCAAGCCATATGACCTTGAAAAAATCAACCGGAAATGACCTTTTGTAAACCGGAAGTAGCTATTTCTTGTTCATATTTTATGTAAAAGTACATAGAACCATATATTTTTGGAATCAGTGTCAAGTAAACTATCAAATGATACCGGAAGTGACCTTTTCCAAACCGGAAGTAACAAATTATCTTCCTTATTTCAAACAAAAATATATAGAAACCATATATTTTTAAATTCAGCGTATAATAAGCTATCATTTGGTGCTGAAAATTACAATTCTAACCGAGTTTTAATATTTTTTCACATCAAAATATATCGTTTCGGGTTGAAAGACCTTCAATTGTTCTCTGAACAATTGGTTTGTTCTCTGAACAATTGGTTTTTTATTTTTTTTTTTTTTTTTCTTCTTCCGCCACTTTTTCTGACGGTGCTTTTTAGTTTCGCAAGATGTCGCTTAGATTTTTTGCATATGATATCGAACAGTTATTACGATTTTGAAACTGACCCTGTTAAGCCGAACACTTTTTATATTAAGAGTTATCTCCCAAAACACTGCTTTTCTTGTGTACAAATCTCCTTCGCAACCGTTAAAGATTACGACAAAATTATTTCACCAATTTGCTCGTTATATCCTCAGGATCTTGAAAATTATTTTGACTGAAGCGGTCCGGAAACTCCATATGAGAGTTATTTCCCCTTCTGTATTTAGAATAAGTAAAATGTAATTGTAATTGGTAAACAATAAATGATAGAGACCAGGGTCTTTTGATTTTAGGTCCTTGGTAAAAAAAGGTCAAAGGTCAAGGTCATTTCTAATTTTGGATTTTGGCTTATTTTCACCTCTTTTCAAACACAATATAAGATATCGACAACATATTTTTACTTAATTGTTAGTTGCGACATGTCGTAACACACACATTTTGGTTTAAAGGGTACGCTTACATCAAATTAGAGTTGTCTCCCCTCTTTTATTTAAAAATATGCATATGGTGATATAACTTACGAACCAAATATGATTAAGACCTAGGGAACCTTAGGAAATGACATTTTAAACCGAATTTTACTATTTTCATATTAGAATACATGTTTTTTTTTTGTGGAAAGACCTTTCAAAGAACAATTTTTAAGTTTTTAATTCTTTCAAGATTTGTTTCAGGTATTAGCGAAATTAACACTTTGACGAAATAAGATTTTTACTTTTTAAACATTTAACTCCTGTATCAAAAACATATGAAAGGCAAAATCCCAAAGTAAATTTGAACTCTTTAAAGATTCTAGTGCTTAGAATTTTATTCAACAGCGGAATTATATCTCTGAGGGTCGACAATTTTCTGTCAAAATAACTACAAACATAATGTTCAATACTATTCTAGGAATACTGAATCAATAGCAACATGTTGTGTCAATTGAAAAGTTTGATTAATCTTAAATTGAAAAAAAAAACAAACTTATTCCTGAAAATAGGTAACAACATCTGGTCGTTTGGGATAGTTTTAAATGCATATTGTAGTTTTAAAGAAAATGTTCATTGTAATCAAACTTTTAACGGAACGGTGTGTTCTATACTCATCTGTAATAAAAAGATGCTATAAAATTGTTAATTTTATTTAACAATTAATTTGCTGCGCTACACATAATTTATAGGCAAGCCCACTGTAGGATAATGTTTTTATTCTTGGTTGTACTTGTTTACAAATTGATATGATGTACAATATGAATAATTTTACAAACTTCCAGTAGTACAATTGCACACACAATATTATCTGAAACGGTCATTTTGATTTTATCATCATCTGAACAATAAACTATTCATTCCTGTTCAGTCCTTCAGTCATTGTTTCAGACTAATCTACTGTGATAGATTTAGTAATGTTAAGACAATTACCTTGCAGTCAATTCGTAATTGTTTAATAGCTATTCAAAGATTTAAAGTGATGTTGATATTGGTGAAAACAACGACTAAAAAGTATGACCATAGACTGACCAGATCTCAGAAGACTGGAAGCAAATTGTCTGAACAGTACTAAATTTACAGAAAGTCTAAGTCTGAAGATTGACTGACAGACTTAAAATGACGTAATAATTTATTGTTTAGTTTTTTAAGGGTTTTTTATAATAAAATGGCTGATAGACTTAGCATATTTTCCTATTGTGAATGTTATTGATTTCAAAAAAAAGTTCTATCAAATTGCGGACTAGATTATCATATGCGAAAACGTCTGAAATCATTTCAAGGACGATAAATTGGTAATAAAAATATACCTATCTGATGATATACTCTGACACACATTGAGCTGATTCAATTAAACTGAAACTTACAGTGACAGCGACACTCTCCATACACGATGCATCAGATTGTACGTCCATATCTATTCCGAACTGGGCCGGTGGTGTTTTGTACATCCAAAATGAAAACCCAACTGAAATCCTACTTTGGGTTCTATTATAGGACAGGAGATTTCAACAGATGGTCATATTTCTTACCCTTGTCCTCGCATTGAGGGAGTGATATTCTTTCTAAATGTGGTGTTGGCTACATATGTTTTGTATGAAAGTAACACAAACAATATCCTTACCTAGTATGTCCTTTTCTCTCTGGATCCTCTGTCTGATATCTTTAATCAGCATCGCCATGTCGTTCCCCCAATAAAACCTCAAAGGCGTCATTTGAAATTGTTCTGAAAAAAGTTATAGCAATTACTGTAACTCTTTTTTGTATGTTTAATAAACAGAAATCAAAGAGTATGAATGGATGTGTTATCTAAGTTTTAACTTTTTGTGTTAATGAGGCGTTTTTTTAATTTCTACAAAAGTAAAAAAAAACAAAAAAACAAAAAAACAAACAAACAAACCCGCATGCAAGAAGTATTAGTTCATTAGCACTGTGTGTATTTGTTACAAAATCAACTTCTGTATAGTTATAACTGCAATTTAAACATATAATCATTGATTACTAAGTAGTCTTATTTCAATATTGCTTGAGAGACATAACATAACATGTGAAATAATGAAGTCAGTAATGTGAGGGTTCATTGTAGCTGATGAAAGAACCTTGACGTAAACTTTACATGATTTATGAAGCGTCAAATATTTCTTTAAATGTTACTTTGGACCAAGTTATATTACTGCTGGAAATTTAATATGTAAAATAACATGAATAAGTTTCGACTTAGAATTTCACACAGGCCAGAGGGCCTTGAATATGCATGTCAAAGGTACCTGTGTTTTGAGTAATATTGTTATGAAACCATTCACAGAGACTTTATCTGAATTTAGATTAATGAATTGAAGTAAAGTTTTGACAATGCAAATGGAAAGAGTTTCTTTGTATTGGTAGTAATAAATTAAGTAGAAGTTTTAATAAATTTGTGGTTATGAAAATCCCTCACTTTATAATTCAACAGTTATTCAACAATTAAATTTAATGAAATCTAAAACGCGGCAACAGACACGGACAGAGTTAAAAAAAAAAAAAGCTGTGAAATAAACACCGTAACAAGGATCAAAATGAGCCGTCCCGAAAGGGAAAATTTACAAATCGTCTCTTTTGTTATAAATGTTTTTGTTCATTTCCGCGTTAAAATTGGAAAATTCTTGATTATTTGAAGCAAAACTATCATCAAGGTACCGTTCAGTGTTTTTTTTTTTTAAATTATCAATTAAATGTAATTTAAACAATTCTTTACTGAGTTTGTCCATTTAAAATGATTCATTTTAATTCATAAACTGTGTTGCAGAAACGTACATAGATGTTGTCGAGGAGAAATTTTGCCGCTTTAATCATCTGAACATTGTCCCAGTTAGTATATCAATAGATATAAGAAGATGTAGTATGAGTGCCAATGAGAAAACTCTCCATCCAAGTCACAATTTGTAAAAGTAAACCATTGTAGGTCAAAGTACGGCCTTCAACACGGAGCCTTGGCTCACAACGAACAGCAAGCTATAAAGGCACCCCAAAATGACTAGTGTAAAACCATTCAAACAGGAAAACCAACGGTCTAATCTATATAAAAAACGAGAAACGAGAAACACTTATGAACCACATCAACAAACGACAACCACTGAACATCACGTTCCTGACTTAGGACAGGTGCAAATAAATGCAGCGGGTTTAAACGTTTTAATAGGCGCCAACCTCCACCCTACCCGAAACAAAAGTGTATCACAACATAGAAAGACACACTATAAAATATCAATTGAAATGGTTTAACTCAATCAAAAGACAAATATTAACAAAAAGAAGTGAACATACACTGAACGAAAAAATTTGATCTAGTATATTTCAATTTTCCAATACAGACGAAGGCATTATACGAGTCAGAGCAAATTAATCTGCCATGACATTTGTCAAAGGAACATTCAATTAAATAATTACGTCATTAGATTGTGTGTTAGTATAGAGTACAGACCCGATGAGTTATACATATCCATCGTTTTAAACGGACTACAAAAACACATAATTTATCAAAAATATCAAAGAGTTTTTCATACCTCAACATGATTCATTCAATTTTCTTAAACTAGTTTTTTTATAACAAAAACTAATTGCACGTTCTCTCAGAAAAGTAAGGGACCTAGTAAAGAGAACAGAAAAAAGTAAGGTGAAGAACACTTACTAGAAGTCGAGATGAAACGTCATTTGAAGGTTCTTCTCGTACAGTAGATAGCTCGTACATTGAAATTAAAGACATATTCATCTTTTCAGAGCAGGCATTAAGCTGATATGAGATACCGACATAACGTTTAACAATTTAACACCATCAAGGAGGTTGATTTTTTTTGATGGACAATATATCTTTTACGTGTAAAGGATGTATTTTCTACAAGTAGTTGACATTCCTATGAGTACAAGATCTGCTTCTCGTGTTCCTTTATTCATATGAAGCAGACATCATAAAGTAATCAGAAAGATGAAAAGAAGTTATCATTTCTCTATATGATTCAAGTTCAATGACCATGTTAAACGGGTCTATCACATCGGACTTGAAATAAAGAATTCCACATGCATTGTTAATATAAAACGAGGAGAATTGGTATGATTGCCAATGGAAAAAACTATCAATAAGAGACCACAGGACGGAACTTCAAATATAGGCTACCTTACGGCTCTCAACTCATAGTAAGCTGAAAGTTGAAAGTGGCGTTAAACACCAATCAATCAGTCTAACTTACAAACACAAGATAAACTCATATGAAATAATAACAAGCAAAATACATAATCTTAAACAAAGTATTTTAGAGGCACCTGATTCCAATACGATTAAACCGTTAAATTTATTCACAAAACATAAGGTATATAAGATAGATAGAAATAAGAAGATGCCAATTGACAATTAAAACATTAAATAAGAAAGACGTATATTATTAGTTTCTGAGAGAGTTAAGAGTAGAATACACACGCAATTAAACACTGCACACAGGGACTACTCGAATGTTACACTCTACGTTGTTTGCGTTATCTTAACCAATATACCCATTATAAAACGACATTAAGAACAATAGTAAGTACATAATGAATATACCTTTAATATCGACTAATTCCTGAAGAGCTATCTCTAAATCAATCTGCCTCTTGGAGTCTAAACTTTCTCTTGCTATTGCAGTTAACTCGTGCTCATAATCAGCAGCAATTCGATGTGTTATTTCCCGAAACTGTAAGAAATAGTTGTCAAACACTGTCGGGTCGATGCATGTGTCACAGCGATGAGCACACTCATTTCGCAAAAGTCGAATTTGCTCTATATCGTCAGCAATGTTTGTATCGCGTTTGGCAGGTATCTGTCCCCATCCTTGTGTAGGATTTGGTACGAAAGAAAATGTTCTAAACAACTGGTAAAGCAGTGAAGCATCCAGTGATGTGTAGCCAAAATTAGATTGCAATTTGTTTATCTGTAGCGTCTGTGATTTATCCCAATTACGCCCATGCTGTGTACACATGTTGTACAAGTGCAATGGTGAATAGAACGATGGTATTAAGTTTTGTAGTATTTTAGGGAAAAATTCATTAATCACAGCACTGATTTTGCTGTATCTTTCCCGGTCTTGTAATATAATATGAGGAGCATCACATTCTTAAAAAGAAAAAAAAAAACAAGAAAGTGAGTTAATGTAAAATAGACATCGTTCAAAGGGTTTTTAAAGGAACAGGCATATTTCTCAATATTGTAATGTGTTCCTGCAAGTATGCACAAGTTTGTAAATACATTTCAATAGTGTTTTAGAAATCTGTCTTTTTTAAATCTATTAGACTACCGATTGAAATAATTATTTCGTGAAGCACACAGATATTATTGTAGTGCACCTTGTGATTTAATTATTTGTACACACGCAAGCGTCATTCAGATAGGAAGCAATCAGTAGAAAGGACTATACATTTGGAATGTTTATGGTAAATTGCGGTTGATCTTTTAATTGAGAAGGACTACTGTAAATTCAGAAATTATTGCGAGGTTTTTATTAATGCGACTAGGTGAGTATCGCAATAATAAAAACTCGCATTTTGATAACTGAAACATAGATATGTATGTAGATTTTTCTGAAATCGCAATAATTAAAATCGCATTCTTGTGCATTTTTGAAAAATCGCAAAAATAAATGCACGCAATAATTTCTGAATTTACAGTATTAGAATTGAGCGCCGATAAATCAAAATTGTTGATATAACTGCAAAATTATACATATTGAAGACTATTTATCTAAATCTTTAGAATGTTTGAGAATCAACAACTGATTGACAAACTGGTTGATTATCTCAACATATTATTTTTAAGATCCGTTTATACATGAACAAAACGGTGATTAATACTTTAGAAATATATTAAATCGGGCTTGGATGGCTATCAACTCTTAAAACTGTATGTTTTAAGTGTTTAGGTGGCCATATTGCTTATATCAACAGAATTATAAATAAATTGATGTATATTGAACCTTCATAATAAATCAATCAAATATCTAAAATCCCAATACCTCAAATTACACGATAACTACAAAAACAACAAATATACTTTTAAATTTTTTCGATTAAAATAATTTGATAAAGTAATCAGTGAAAGAAAAATATGTTATCATTAAAGTATATAACAGTATTACTCTATCTTTCGTTTTATTTCATACTATACTAAGTTTTGGGAAATATGTTATAACTTACTAAAAGTATGTAGCTGAAGGTATTGTGAAATACATTTTAGACGATATTTTACGAGATCGAAATAAAATATTTGAGCTTAAAACGTTGAATTTTAAGTTTTATGTTTTAAATCTTTCTCACCTATAATACCAACGTTTTTAAATTCTGTCAAAACAACTGCTGTATCTATATTCTGTATCAGAAGAGATTTGTAAGTTTGAAAAACACTTTTATTCCCCAATGCAATCCGAAATCGCCGAATAATCTGTTCTAGTTTATATCTATCATGTCTATAAAGCAATTTGACAAGATAATTTTCCGTACAGTCATCATTGTTCATTGCCCTGATTGCATTTATGACATGCCGTATCCGTTCAATATCATCAGCTATTTTTAATGCTGTATGATCTGGAAACTGTCCCCATCCACTTGATGGTGTTGGGAGTAATCCTTCAAAGCTGATCAATTTATAGCATAGCTGTATTGTAAAGTTTTGAACATTCGGTAACTCTTTTACCAAAAGTAGTTCAGAAGGCGTTAACACAGGTGGATTCCTTTTATTGTTGCAGTACTTATTCGATAATCCTTTTTTGTGTATGTAATGCGATAAGTAACATTGCATTATATTCGGAAAAAGATAAAGTACAAAACAAGCAAGTCTGGCACGTCTCTCCTCATTATCATTTCTACGTTGATGATACATGATGTTGCTTTATATCTTTGTTTAGACCTGCAATAAATTCAAACTAGTAAGAGACACAATATGATGAAAGGACAGAATCAGAAGATTATACGTTGTTGATGTCAACTTTGCTGGGGAAGTTGGATGGTTTTAGTAAAAGTGTATAATGATTAATTAAAGGCGGCAATTACAAAACGGACAGTCGAATTCATAACAAACGAACTGTCAATACTATGGCAAATAACACAAACAATAGTCTAGAAAACACAACCCATGTAACAACCACTTGTTTTCATAGGTTTTAAAATCCTCTGTATATCAGTTTTGGACTGTTCATATTTAGGAAAAGATTCGACAGTTTTTTTAATTATATTTGAATGAATGAATGAATTATTTTATTCTCACAAACTAGTACATAGCTACAGAGAAAGTAACAGTTCATATATACTACATATTTTGTTTTGTGATTTGAAGTAAACAACTTGAATTCCAAAAAATGTTTTACATTAGAAATATATCGCTCATTTGAGTTTTACTCATTATAAAATGGATATATTCGCCCTTTGGTGGATTCTCATCAGCTTCTTTAATGGTTAAGTATTGAATATATATTTCTGCTTCTGAATGACTGCCTACTTGTATTTTATGCAATTAAGACTGTTTTGTTAAAACAATTGAAGCTATCTGTACTTGTTACGGATTGATTCCATGCATGATATATATTTTAGTCATTGCTAATGGAGGTTTACTCTCCGAGGGTATCACCAGGCCAACAATCAGAAATTCAGTGTTGACATGAATTAACATTGATATGGTCATACTGTTTGCACAACTTTGATTTTTTTCCTAATTTCAAAGGATTAAATATCCAAGGCATATTTTACCTTAGCTTTTTTTGGTAAAACCTCTAGGGATTTTGGATCTTCAATGATCTTCAACTTCGTACGTTTTTATTCGAGTGTCACTGATGCGGTTTAAAGACGTTACACGCGTCTGGCGTACAAAATCGTAATTCTGGTGTATATGATGAGTGTATTTGGTATATGAGTGTATTGTTATTAGTTTCTATTTAAGATCCATTGTACTCTCTTTGCTTACTTTACCTGTAATTGTTAACATTTGATTTAGATAAATTGATAATGCGGAAAGACCTACATTTGATTTTAATAAATGCATAATTTGGAAAGACCTATTTGCGGGCAAGATGCAGTCATATGGTTCTAACACATCTGCTTTTGTTTGTTTATTTCTAAAGATTTATTCTTCCAAAAAAAACTTAAAAATACAACAAAATCGATACAAACTCTCGAAATCTTTGTTTTATCACCCCATTTGAAAATACTGTCTATCCCACAGGTAATGATTTTTTAAACCAAACACATAGGTACAATATCATACTGAAGCAAATTGCAATCTTAAATCAAGAAAATATTGTCTCATGTGTTTGACATTGTTATTTGTTAATGACTGCCATGACTTAAAATTAATGGTGCATTTAATGTTTTACATCTGTCAGAAGAAAAACATAATAAAGCGCAGTATTAACTAGTATAAACAAAAATTGATTATGCATGTACTTCAAAACCAGTATATCGGTAATTTAATATCAGTGAATAGACATAATTTAAACTTTAATTAAGGATTTCTTTTTTAAATTTCATAGGAAGGAGAACTTTTTGAGTCTTAGATGAATGTTGTCTTTATAAGTTGTAATTGACTTTGAACTAGCTATTAGTATCTGCGGGGACACTCTGATCTATAGTTAGTGTCTCGTTTGTTATGCGGATGCATAAATACCTTGTTACATCCGGTCTGTGTTTTTGTTAGATTTTTTTTCTGTTTTGTATCGATCTGATGAGTAAAGCCCTTTTCAACTGATTTTTATAGTTTGGTCTGATGTTGTACCGTTACACTCCTGTCCTAAGTTAGAGGGAATGCTTGGCTTCAACAAACTAGTTGAACACCGCCTCATTCCGTATGTGCCTTTCCCAAATGAGGAGCCTGTAATTCAGAGGTTGTTGTTTGTTGCTGTATATCCTTTTTTTCATTGGTTTGTACGTAACTCAGGCTTTTCTTTCATTGTTTTGTACATAACTCAGGGTTTTCTTTCATTGTTTTGTACATTACTCAGGCGATTAATTTTTTTTTGTATGCATTGTTTTGCATTTGTCATTTCGGGTTTTTTTAAAGCTGACTATTCGGTATGAGTTTTTTTATTACCTACAAAAAGGGACATACATTGTGCAATCAAAACAAAATCTGTGTTTTGCCGCACTCTTATTTTCTTTGTGTAATTTTGTTATAACCAAGACAAATAACTAAAAACATGTAAGGTTGGCAGTTTAATCTGTAATACAAAATGCATCATTCAAGTTTAAAGTTATCGATGAATATAAATATGTTAAATGATAAATGATATAGTCGTCAGTAATGAAAGGTCGTGAACTTTGCAAGGTTTAACATGTTTAAAATCCGTCGTGATCTGTTGGCATTAACTTGGAGTGACTATCTTTCAGACTTCATTTTCTGAGCCATGACTCTGCATATCTTTCTTTATGATCCAAGTTTGATACCAACAATATAATACAATATTAAATGGACGTCATACATTTACTTACAAATTTACCTTTAAATTCATTATCAATATGATCCTATTATTTTCTATGTTTATTTGTTGACTTTATGTCATGACAAGAACAACTACGCATGACATACAATTTTAAACTTAGGTTTTATTTTTCAATCAAATAATTGATCCTACACAATAACCTATCATAAGTATGCGATCGCTGATTAGAAACAATATGTTGTTAACTGTCAAGCCTTTTAAAGTTTACAGTCTTTTCCATTGTCCATATAATGTCTCAAGTTATACCATATGACTTTAAATGACATCTCATATATTGCAGATTCAGGCTTTAGTTATAAGATTGATATTGAATTCACATTAGTTTGTGGAATTAAAAAAAAAAAAAACGTTTTCCTTAAGACAGATCAGGCTGAACACGTTTAAATGTGCAGGTTTCTCTTAAGAGTAATGCCGTGTTAATTTTGAGCTACTTTTGGTTTGATTTTGATATAACTTAATTTTACTACGTCCCCATTGATAAAAAACTGTTAACATTTATTGTAAATCAGGTATCGATTACATACAGTCGATAGGTAATATAGGCCTTCTTTGTGTTTAGTGTACGTAAAGCTAGATACCATGTTTTACGACGTGAATTTTGTTACGAATAATTAAGGAAGAAACAACTATTACAAAATGATTATAATCATATTATGAATCACATGTAACTTATAAACCAATTGATATTTTCAAATCTCAACATTGCTTAATTTAAATAACCTTATGTGAAGAGCATTTGATTTTCAAGGGTGTGGGTTTCAGGATTGTTTGAAGTAGGACGATTCGTTTTAAACCAGTTGATTTTCACGATGGTCCAAATTTTACCTTCACAATACTGCTTATTGTAGCACAGAATATTTATTCTGATTCTGTTTTAGGAAAGGTTGTATTTGGCAGTTAGAACCAAGCCAGAATATTTGTTTCAAATTCCTCCCCCGACCCCAATACGAAATGGTTATCCCCGTACTAACGCAGAATTATATTCAAAGCAATCATCATACAAAACAAATCATTCAATTGAAGTGAGTGGACTCAGACACTGGCTATGCATTGATAAATTTATGGAATTGGACCCATGTGCAGAAACAATTGAAAAGTATATACAGGAAAAAAGCTTATAAGGGAGGACCTACTATTAAATATTGCAGTTATCCGTACTACCTATTGTAATGCACATGTAGCCTGAGAAGATATCTTTAGACATCTCCAATTGCTCCAAATCAATAGAAGGGTTTCTATTAGAAACCGACTATTCATCTTTTGCTTTTGGGGGCGGTTCCTTTCGGTTAATATTGTTTTTACTTGAATACAGATCATTTTTTTTCAAACGGGAACACCTTTTTGTGCAAATTGATATTGAATTCATCCCTCCCTCCGCACTAAATGTTTAGGGACTCACAATTCATATGCCCCATCCATTCCATCCAACAAAAAATGAATTGGTCTATACCGGATAAACTGATACAGAAGTTTTCAGAGAAAATTTGAGTTCCATTCTTTGTTATACACATAAAAATTACGTGTACTCCTAGTTTATTCGAGTTAACAGTTCTCATGTACATATTATCCTGATTGTAAGCCAGTTAACGAAACGCGACGTTTGGTGTGAACACGGTCTTACCTTACTTCGTGTTTTGTATGCATCGAAACGATCTTGGAGTCAGCTCACGTATACAAAAAACCCTGACAATGACACCAAAGAAATGACCAATGGAACACTATTGTTATAAAAAGGAAAACCCGTCACAGGAAATGAAAAGCATCTCCTTTGTGTAATATATTCAATAAAAAACCGAACATACAAATACAAATACAACTAGATTTGTAATTGCTAGCAATAACGGATGGCACCCTCGTCCCCCATTGCCAGGGTAACAGCAGCCATTTTGAAAATTTCAAAGTCGAATAACAACTCTTGACACGCCAGTTAACATTTCTGTACATTTTCATTAAATTTGGAGCATTTTGAAATTTTCGACATTTTTGCTGTTTCCATGGTAACGGTGGCCATTTCTAAAATTTCAAAAGTAGAACCCACAGTGGCACATGCCATGTTACATATCTATACAGTATTATTGAGTTTGATGTTATATGTTTTAAGAAAATGCAGCTATAATGTATTTTCCTATAGGGTCAATGTTAAACTTTCGCACTGTTTCCATGACAATGGCAGCCATTTTGAAATTTCTAGTACTGTCTGCACATCTAGGCATACCAAGTAACATTTCCATAAAGTTTATGCAGCTAGGTCTCATAATGAAAAATTTAGAATTTTGAAAAAAAATCACATTTTTGCAGCTTCCATGGAAACGGCGCCCATACTAAAAAATTCCAAAGTGAGGTGCACACCTGCACAAAGGGGGTCCTCATTATAGTATAGTTCCATCAACATTGGTTCACTCAATT